AAGGTTTGTGATCTCTGACAAATCACAAACGACACTGGTAAACGTAAAACTACTTCAAGAGTTTTTTGGGTGAAATATCTACTTATATTTAACTAGTACCGCACAAAAGGTGTGAACGAGATAGAGCACCATGGAAATTTAAACCGCGCGCAAGTACAGTTCAGATCAGTTCAGTTCAGCTCAGTTTGCGCAGGACAGAAAATAGCCACGGTCAATCGAGCGTCCAGAATTCCTTCGGGTTGTATGCGGTCAAGTATGGTATCCACCACTGCGAAAAGTAGTCAGGTCAGGTCAGGTCACAGGACTTGTGGCTCGAGCCAATATGTATCCAGGTTCTTGCACCCCGAGCTCCGTGTTCTCGCGATGCTTCAGCTGCCAAGCGTTCCTTTGACCCAGATAATCTGCAGTAGCTGGATCCGGATACGATTCTTCCCGGTCACCGATGTTCAATGCTGGAATTTAGAAATGTTCATTCAGGATTTGGAAAAACGGCCAAGTGTGAAGTCGATCCAGTATACAACTGCTTGAGTTGCATTTATGGTCAAAATAATGAGACAGTGATAATGGATAAGATACAAAGTATGAAAAAAGAGAGTAAATAACTGCAGAAGGTATTAGCATTACTCCGAGGTGTATGTATCGCAGAAATCCGTCTCTAACAAGCTGTCGCAGCTCAGCCATTCACCCCAAAGACGGTTAGCCACTATCTTGCGTTCACACTTCGGATCAGTCTCATTTCAGCCGTGCATACACAACCAAAACCAGACAGTCTTACATGTTACATTAACCTCTTATGGTACCAAAAAGAAAGAAGACAGACTAGAGTCCCTTAGCCTACTCTTGATTACCCTCCCCCGTAATTGCGTGTCATCTTCTTTATATCACCCAAAGTGTTAGTACCTACAGCCACGAATACGTTAAATCATACTCACACACACATCTATACCATCCATACATGCATGCAGTCTTGTGCATATCAATGTTTACCGGTTAAGATCCTTACTGTTCCTAGGACGAGAATGGCACGACGCTGAGTGCTTGGCGGACACTCTGACTATACTCACAGTAGGTCATAAACAGGGTACACGTATTTAAATCAAGTCTCAAATGGTCACTACCTAGGGTTCAAGTCTCTCATGCGATGCAATAGAGAGATCTGGTTTTCCAGGCTGGATCAGTTGAAGGCTGGTGGAAGAGTATTCATGGGACCCTGATCCCAACAAAAGTCAAGGAGTCATTCGTACTTGATCATCATTCGTCATACAATGCAAGAAGAGATGTAGGGAGAAGAGTCAGCCTCGGAACCGGGCACCCCTCGGTCGAGAGAGTTTTGGTTAACTCGGCAAACTCTTTAGCTAGAGGGGGACGTAACCCCGTTGGCATTGCGCACAAGCTTGATATGGTATTTTAACCATCAGATTGAGCGTAATAACACATCTGCTTTTGAGGCAGCATAGCGAATGCTATTGCTCTTCATCCAAATGAACCTGCCCTGTTTGCAGGGCTGGTTTGCGACTGAGCTCCACCATTTATTCCTGCTACCCGTATGATTTAGGGTGCGCTTTACTGTACCGACCCTAGGAGTCGTTGCCGCCTACCTCTCTCGGTTGGGGGTGTAATGGTTTCTTTTGGATCGTTCTGTATAAATTGGTTGACAAGGATGTAGGATTTCTTGATGAAACCGAGAAGGAAGAGAAGAAAAGTCGCTAGTGCAGAGAAACAAGTGAGGATGTTGAAAACGTGTAAACGCATATAGAGCCTCTTTCATCCTCCCTGGAGTCATACTTCCAGTTATCTAGTGCACCAGCACTCAAGTACTGACCCTGGGCATGTGTCCACCTGATCCCGTTGCCCGCCCACACTGTTTAATAGTGATGTTGTGATTGCCGCACAACTGAGCAGTCTGCTGTCTATCCACCATGGACTTTCAGGTCTTTTCAGGTATATAAAAGTGTACACACGAACATGCTTTTATCCCTACATAATTCGTCACTTAGTGGGAACAACACTAGTCCGTAAATTCCTGGCTGAAAAGGGGAAGAAATGGAAAGATATATCATCTCACCTCCAAGGCGAGAGATTGTTATTCGTGAGCGTTCATCTCCCAAGATACATTCCAATAAATGGCAGGGCGAAACAAAGAAATACACCCCGAATTTGCCGCTCCTGCTACTGGTTTTCTTAAGCCCCTGGATGAATGGTCAGACTTCTACTTCAATCTTTAATTGTTGAGGGCATTGGGAGGATCCGTATTAGCTCCATCTCAATGTGCTCCACTGATCTGATTAGGTTTTGACACCAGACCAGTGCTCCCTCATGGCTCTGTCGAGTTCAAGCTTGAAAATGCTGTCGTTTGGCTCTTCTATCTCGTCCTCCAGAAGTGCATTCCAGAGATTTGTCACCCTCCTCGACAGACGATTGATCAGCGGCAAACCGTTCGACCGCATCTTGTGAAACGTCATTGCTTGCCTTCTGATGCGGTTGTTGTTCCTCATGGGGAATTCTAACTGCAACTCTGGGCCAAAGTCGCCCCGGATGATGCGTCTGGTGTAAATCAGGTCGCCTCTCAGTCGTCTGTATGACATGGGGAACCGTCCCGTTGCAATCAGTCGTTCCTCGTAGTTGATCCCACGTAGTCCTTCGACGAGGCGTGTAGCAGCCCTTTGAACTCTTTCCAGTTGGGCAACCTTCAGAAACCGTACAAGGAAAGACCGCCAGATCACCATATTCCAATCGGGGGCGAGCGTGGGAGACATACAGCAATTTGAAGGCCGTCAAGGGTAACGGACCAGACAAAGAGCGGATAGCTCCCAACATGCTCTACGCAGAGGCACAGGTTTTGTCTCTGTGAACGAGTTTTCAGGTTGTTGGTGACGAAAACACCCAAATCTCGTTCCTCAGTTGATTGCCGGAGCACAGTACTTCCAAGAAGGTAGCTGGTGGTGAGACCGTGTCCTCCTATCTTC